TATCTCCCAGACAAGTCTGGTGCCAATTTGCCGACCCCGGAGGAATAGGCTTGGCGGGTCATTGGTGCGGGAATCGTTCCCATGTGCATTGCAGGACGCCTCCGACCAATACGACATGCACTCAAAGTTGGTGTCTAGGTTTATATTGTGCCTGGAATTTTGAGGTCATGGCCATATTTGGAGCTCCCACCATTCGAGATCACTCTCCAAAACTAATGCTGTTTCTTGTGATGTGAGTCTTCGTACTTAGGTGGAGTGGAGCACTGTACAAATAAAGTAACCCTATTCAGTACTGCCATCTCGCTTGCAGAATGTTTCTTACCATTGTAATTAAATCGTCTCATCCAGTGGTACTTTTCCGCATAGGATGACCGCTCTGTTGCCTATAGAACGGTCCTTGCATTCAAAATGACGTAGCCTCTCCCAGCACCACATTTCCATATGGTACGGTTTTTCAAACTGGAAAGAACTCACTTATTCCACCAGTACTCTTTCAGACGCGACGGCGTACCGCAGGAATTCCTAAGCGGCAGTTCTACAGTGTAATTTAACTCCTTTATTAAACCCCAATCTTCTTGCTTTATATTTAATGACAAAGAACTAGATCATCTCCATTTTTTATTTTTTTTGATAGTCAAACGACCAGTAATCTCACGTATATTGGAGCATCAGCGATTGAACCATTGATTGTATTCGCAGAACTGGCTACCTTTTGCACTGCACTAGGTCGTCCGGAAAAATCAAGTAGTTTGTGCTCTAGCATCCTGATGCGATACCGTGGCGTATTCATGGAAAACTTATGTGATGTCAACTAAATTTGTACCTGTAAACTTTCAGTCAACAGTACAATAAATCGGATTTTTATCTTAGTTTTATCCATTTCTAATGACCATCAACGATAAAATCTCAATATCGTGGAAGTAAGGAAAAATACTCCAGTGAATGACAGTGGTTGTAAAGTGGTAGAACGATGTAAAAAGCGAAACTAAACGAAAGAAAAACGTTAAACTTTACAGTCGACCGCTAAACTTGGCAAGGTCGCCAATTTTCTGTTCGTTTAAGGAATTTCTTTTAGTGGTTAGCCTTTACAGCTATCGGATTTTCTGGGTCTAGTGCAATCTATGATGAATATTTTGTAAATGAGAAAAAGCTCTTTCCGACATCAATCGCGAAGCAGCGTTCTTCGTGAGCAATGTCTGGTGAAGATTGTTTGTAAATTTGGAAGTGTCTTTTCTTTTGCTAATCGTCCATTAAAAAAGTTTATCGTTGCTAGTAAAGGACTTGAAAAAAGGGTTTCAATTCTCATCGACCCTTACTTGGATAGTTGGATGGCCCATCCTCAATGGGTGTGCGGGTCCCAGCATAATTTCCGTCTTTTCGGAGCTGTGCTAGAGTAGCCATTGTGTTTTCCCGGAGTCCCGAGGCCGGCCTGGTCAAAATCTACCCCCGTCGGCCCCTTGTGATCACCGAATACTAATCTTTCGAAGAATTTATTCTGAACGACTAATGAATAACCAAAGAGAAGAGGGAAGAGTAGAAAGTCAAATTTAGCTATTTTTGCAAACTTTATTATCTTATTAAGATGATTCTTTACAATGGTATAAGTAACGCGAAGAATGATTACCACCTTTTGAATGTTCACTTTTTATTTACCGTATATTATTATTTTTACATGCCAGGGAATAATGTGAAAGCAAGAACTTTAGTGATACAAAGAGTTACACGTGAGCGCCCGGAAATGATAATCGTGGGTTGGAATGTGGCCTGAGGTCCAAGTTTTGCAAATATCTCAGCACCACAATGGTTGAATTTCACATTATACTCTGGCATAAAAAAGTAGTGATAGGCCGCACATAAAAGTTAAAACATTGTGATTTCGACTGCAGTTGCAGCTCAACTGAGCTTAATGCTTTGCGCTCCGGTGATCGCTCCCGTTGGCGAGCGATTGCTGATGGCACCATTAGGTAGAAAACTGGTCGTCTTCTAATTGCTTACCACAAAACTGGAGTCATTAAAAACAGGAATTACTCGTTGATAAAATTTTAAAGAATTAGCCTGCCTATTCAGATATAACACATGAGCATGACTAATCAAAATTGTAATTTTTTAATGTTATACCTTTTTATTTTCTGCCTAGTATAATTTCGCAGCAGGGTACTAAGCGAAATACAACCACAACGTTGCTGAGATATTTGCAAAACTTTGGACCGCAGGTGTCTATGATGGGGAACGAACGCGCTATTGTCCTTTCCGGGGAGTAACGCGTTCACCACCACACCACACGGGTCCTTCGTTTCGCCTGTCTCTCAGCTAGTTTTATCGATCTTTTTGCCATCAGCAATCACCCGTCAAGGGGGGCCGCCATAGACACCAGGGGTCCAGAGTTTTGCAAATATCTCAGCAACGTTGTGGTTATAATTTTTTAGTTGTTGAGGACTGAAGGCCAATGGATAAAGCGTTGAGCGTCAATCCATCTTCCAGAGATGTGCTATGCATCCAACTCCATTCACATCATAGTAGATCGTTTGATTGACTGCATATCTGGTCAACAGAATGGCTTGTAACGGCTTATCGCTATATCAAGTCGGAGTTTTTATACCTTCACATAAGTCTGGTTTCAATGTTCTAGTCTCAAAGGGATTCGTTAACCCGGAGTAGTTTACCTGCTGCGCTAATCGCGTTCCAATCTTAGAATTTAAGGAGGTGTTGATCTTATATAGAAAAACAGTATATTTACTTCCGTTCTTATAAGAAGTCACACAACCAAACAAGTTAGTAAAAGTGAATGAAATGAGCTCAAACCGCGCCATTATCCGACCCATTGTATTTGTTGGTTTTAGGCCAAATTTTGCCTTACGTTTAAGCCATTTTATAAACACAGAGTATTCTTCAGTTTTTTTCCCACCATCTCTCATGTCTTTTCTCTCAACGTCACCCCTTTCCACAGTTGTTTATTTTCCCAATTAGTGGTTTTCAATGCTTTGAAGTCGATTTCAATAATTTGATATTATTTGGTACATAATATTAACATGGGCAAGTTTTGAAATATTCCTATGGCTGTTGATAAATTATCACTCTACATTTCTTTTTGCAGTATACACTTGAACAAATCATATTCATTTGATGAACGACGATATATTTGAGTTTTCTGGTGAGTCGCCAGTTGACTTCAACGTCACTGATCATTTTCTGATGAATAGGGACGATGTCATCAATGTCTCACTGGATGTCTTCACTCCAACGACGACATTTGGTATAAATTGACTATATGGTTATCTATAAAGATGTCCTTTGTAAGATATCTACTACCAAAGGCCATCGTTGAATTTTTTTCTACCTTCTTAACCTCTTAATTAAAGTAATATTTCACTTAAAATACAGGGCTTTGTATCGGATATGTTTCCAAGGACGCAGTGGTTGGAGGCGCCACTGCAACTCACACGTAGAATCGATCCCCGCGCCCATGGCCCACCAAGCCTTCCATCTCTCCGGGGTCGACAACTTGGTATACCAGACCTGTCTGAGAGGTTAGCAGCACTGGCTCTATGCATCGGTAGACCACCGCGAGTCATTGTAAAGGCCAGATATGCATTCAATCACCATTAACCTCCACACGATTCTTAATGAAGTCGAATGCATGGCCCATCCCTCAGGGATTGATCAGCGCCGAGAGCTTCATCCTTTATCTTTTATGTTTCCAAAATGTGAATTTAGGAATAAATAACGCTACGGGTAGGAATCATGTTCATATGTCACGCTTTTTGAAATCAAGGCCACTTCAAAAATTTTAAGTCAACACAGTGTGGCCGTCCCTTTTTCTTCATATTGTAAGCAAAAAGTATTCTAGAATATCTCGACCGTTTTCCTTATAGTGCAAGTGCACTATCGCTGGCACTTGGGTCATCAAATACCCGTAGGGAATTTCAGGGCTGTAGAATAAGAAAATAGCTCGAAAGACCGACTTTCTATAAACCTCGGCATAGATAGTTGATATATTTATTTATATGGTCTTATAAACTGATCTTCTTAAGCTGATGCAATGCTGGAGTCGCGAGCAAAACCCACCCAAGGGTCAAAATCTCATTTTGAAATAGTGCGCCAGGTCACGCGTGATAGTTAGGCATTCGTCTTTCCGGTTCATCTTTGGGATTTTGAAATTTATCCAAAACGCCTTAAGAGTTTTGCGCGTTGATGTTTTCGATTCCTGCTCCAGGATCCGCACAGTCACTTCAAAATCATTGCCGTTGTGCTTTTGTGCCCTAGGTATACCTAGAAGAATGTTTTGACGGATTTTAACTTCCCCATCTAGATGTTCTTTATGCGGACATAAAGTAGTCTACCAATTATGTAACGATTGTCGACATCCCACCCAATACCCTACGCCGTCAGTTAGTTCGCCACCGTTTCTATGATTCTCTGTGCAGCTCAGAAAGCTGTATGATCTGTCCTAATGGGAGAGACGGGGATTGCATGAGTTTAGGTATAATTCACTTGATCTCATGTAGTGCATGCGACGAGGAATATATCGGGGAAACGGGTAGACCACTTTATGTCCGCATAAAAGAACATCTAGATGGGAAAGCTAAAATCCGTTTAAACCCCCTCTAGGTACGCATAGGGCACAAAAGCACAACGGCGATGATTTTGAAGTGAATGTGCGGATCCTAGCGCAGGAATCGAAAACATCAACGCGCAAAACTCTTGAGGCGTTTTGGATAAATTTCAAAAATCCAAAGATGAACCGGAAGGACGAATGCCTCACTATCACACGTGACCTGGCGCCCTATTTCAAAATGATATTTTGACCCCGGGTGTGCCTTGCTTGCGACTCCACGAAAACAAGTCCCACATGTGCCTGGGCCAGTCCCACATGTAACATCACGGTGAGTGGCCTCTCTGTTCAATATGGCGTCTATTTAAAAGTTTGATCTTTATTAATACTTTGACGTTTTTTCACCAAGTAATTAAAATATTGTAATATAAAATAAGTCCATGTCTGAGGAAGGCGAAGTCGCCGAAACGTCAGCCATCGACCAACAACATCAACAACAACGACAACGAAGACCTGTACTAACCTCACATAAGCTTAAGAAGATCAGTTTATAAGATCATATAAATAAATAGATTAAAAAAATATTGAACAGCTGTGACTTGTACTCTACTCATAAGGTATACTCATTCTCAGCTTTTCAGATCCACTCATACCGTATACACCAAATTACTACCGTATCGCAGCTCTGAGCGTCAAATGCATTCTATCATCGTTCGTACTTATTCTGTCTGCTACGATTCGAAGAGATTTCTTGAAGCATTTTACATTGTTTATTATGATTCCCATAGTACTTGACTGTGGATTTGATATATACACGGAGATCAAGGCCAGTATTACCTCCTATGGCTCCAGGTGAGTATGGATTCAATCTGACTTCTATAAGAGGCGTGTGGCGAAATTTGTTGAGCCAGGTTACATTTAATTCTCGTTTAATCTTATTCGCACTAATCGATGCCACGGAATTAAAATGTTTTGCATAACACCTCCACGGATCCCCCTCATATGAGGATCACGAACCGTTCAGTTTGCCAGGCTACATGGAGCGACCCCAGGTGGCGGATACGGGGTTAATCGCGAACCAAAAGCGAGATTTCCTTCCCTGAGACGCATGTGGATCCAAGGGATAGACTCCCTGTTTCTGCTGCGCTGATTTGGCACATACTTTCTGTATTTGCTAGGCGTATTCATTTATGCGTGTGTGAGTGTATTCCACTTTATGTAGATTGTATTCTACGAGTCAATTCGGCCAAAAGCCTGCAGTCAAGTGACTGGGGAGTGTATGGAAGACGGTTAAGAGTCGCCTCCAACAAATAAGCTCTATGCCCACTCTGGGAGAGCCTGGAAAGTTATCAGTTAGTATACCCAGCCCCCACGTTCAGAGCCCAACAAGCTATACGTAAATATCAAATTGCTAAACGCGGTAAAAAAAAACGGGCCTTATTCCCCTGACCCCGAAAGAGCCCTCAATTTCGCAGCGTTGGGTGGGAGGAGTACGGAGATGCTGCTAAAATCTCAAGGCCAATAAAAGCCTGTACCTACAATGCACGTACACTTGCATCCGAGTCCTCGATAGAAGGCTTGCTGGTGCAAGCAAGAAGAATAAAGTACAATGTCATCGGCCTGGCTGAGGTGAGAAGGCGCCAGCCTTTCAAAACCGTCTATGACACCGGAGAAGAACTGTTCATTGGAACACACGACAGTAGACGAGTCGGCGGCTTTGGCGTTCTCGTCAACACGAGTTTGTCCATGAACATCGTTTCATTCGAACAGTTTGCAACCCGAATCGGACGTTTGCGACAAGATGTAGAAATACCGGCTTTGACAATCTTCGTCGTTTATGCGCCGACATCAAATTATGACGAAGAAGAAGTCGAAGCGTTCTATATGGACTTGGAAAAGCTCTACAGAGAAGGCCATACATTCTTCAAGGTGGTCATTGGATATTTTAACGCCAAGATTGGACCAAGAAGAACGTCTGAAGAACTTCACATTGAGACCTATGGATTAGAATGAAACGAACAGGATGAGCTGTTATATCTGAGTTTATCATGGCCACCAAGACCATGCATGAGAACATGCAATTCCAGAAGCCCCACCCTCAACACTAGACGTGAGAGTCTTCCAGTGGAGAGCACCATAACGAAATATACTACATCATAGTAAATCGAAGGTTTTGCCTAACCGATCTCGGTGTTGTGCCAAAATTCTAAACGGGATCAGACCACCGCCTCCTTCTTACAAGATTCTATTTATCGCGGAAAGAAGAAAAAGCCACTAAATTCAAAAACCGAAGTCGTAGAACCACCGTAAACTGCGACTTATTCAATTCATTAGTCGGCTGTTGGGAAGATGCCGTTGTCGATAACATCGGCGAAGAATTCAATCGGTTCAACCAACGTCTTCGCATTAGCGCTATGAAAGCTGAGAGTTCGAAAGTTACCAAGAGACGTTTGTCTCCAGAAACACTCGAGCTGATACGCCAGCGTAGAATCGCACGATCTGCAGGCAACCGCGAACTAACGTCGGAACATGCAAAACAGTGTAGACGGGCGATAAAAGATTATAAAGAGAGAAGAGCACTAGTAATGGTCGAAGCTGAAGAAGCCAGGAAAAACATTCGCAAAGCCCATCGAAGCTTCGCCAATTACAAGACGGAGATGATTGCACTCCGACGCCCAGACGGAACAGTTACAGTGTCCAGAAAGGCAATGGAGAAGATCATCCACGAATACTACTCAGATCTCTTCGATAGCCACGTCCACCTTCCGTCATATGAAATAAAGCAGGATGGATATATCGTACCACCGCTTATCCCTTCCGAAATCCGACACGCTATTTCGTCGGTGAAAAATCGAACAACACCAGGTCTGGAGAGGATAAGGCCAGAACACCTGAAGAACCTGCCACCACTCCTCGTAAACACACTGGCTCGGCTCTTCACACGTTAGCTGTCTGAATGCAAGGTCCCTACTCAGTGGAAGACCAGCAAGACCGTGTTATTGTTTAAGAAGAGTGACCACCAAGATATAGGCAACTGTCGCCCAATCAACTCGCTGTCTGTTGTCTACAAACTTTTCACTCGAGTCATCCTAAGCCGGATTGACAGAACACTGGACGAAGAAGAGCCATGTGATCAACCAGAGCCTAGAAAAGGATTTCGTGCGATGGACCACATCCGCACGATAACAAGACTCACTGAAGTATCGCGAGAGTACAAAACACCGCTCTGTCTCACTTTCATCGATTTAAAGAAGACCTTTGACTCAACTGAGATAGAAGCAGGCATAGAAGCCCTTGATAGTCAGGGAGTCCCTACTCATTACATAAAGATTCTTCGTGAGCTGTACAAATATTTCACAACCAAAATATCACCATTCTACAACGATGTTAACATTGATGTCAAAAGAGGGGTTAGGCAAGGCAAGGCGATACCAGCTCGCCAAAATTATTTACCGCCACCCTCCTGAACATCATGCGAGCATTGGTGTGGGACAACATGGGAAAGGAAATCGATGGCCGGCAAATCCTTTATCTTCGCTTTGCTGAAGATATCGTTCTTATAACATCAAACATTAGCCAAACAGAACGTATGCTTGCTGACTTTGATAGAGCCTGTGGAAAGATTGGTCTTCGACTAAATCTCACAAGAACGGTGTTCATGAAGAACGGTTTGGTTTCGTATGCCCCATTCACACTCAACGGAACGAATGTCTCCGATTGCTCCAGGCTTGGCTATCTAGGTTGTGAAATCAACGTGTTGAACGACTTAGCTCCAGTCTTGAGCAGAAGGAAAAAACAAGCGGCTTGGGAAGCTTTTTTTTTCGACTCAACGGTACTTTCCGCCCTCGCGTATGCGTGAGAAACCTGGTCGTTGCGTAGGCAGGATGAAAGACCACACAGCGTTATTGAATGCACAGTCGAAAGGATGATACTAGGAGTATCCCGTTCCACACAAATAAGAAAAAGGATCCGTAAACTCCGACCTGCGTCGACGACTAAAAATCAAAGATGCCGTTTTGTAGGCCAACAGTAGAAGATAAGGTGGGCCGGAGACGTAATGCGTATGAATGACAACCGATGGACAGGAGCCGCTAGTGACTGGATTCCCCGGGATGCCAAACGTACTGCAGGAAGACTACCGACCCAATGGTCAGAGTCGAAGAGCCCGAAAGAAAGAGATGATACTCGATGAGTCCATAGAGCGAGCGGAACCCACTGGGCTACTCTTGTACGCAACAGGCAAAAATGGAAGATTTACTGGCGCGTACTAGAGTCGCTCCACGATCAACGATACTACAGGTAATACAGGTGATAGGCATTTTTTTAACGTCATGATAACTATAAGAACTATATAAAGGGTGTATTCAGAAGAACAACAGTTCATCCATTTGCTCATTTTTAACCAAAGAGGAATAAAGGACAAGTCTACTAGGGAAAATCTACTCTGGAGACATTGTCGTTTGACTAAAAGCCAAAAAAATCACAATCCATCATCAGCAATAGTACTGAAGTTTTTAAACCTTTTTTTTATATCCTGGGAAAAACATGCTTTAATGCAAGAATCTGACCAACTTTCACTTTCGATTTTTAGCACCAAAGTGAGTCAAAGAGCAGGTATTAAAACACTTCTCGTTCCTACGAAGAGTTACCAATGTTTTTTTTTAGAACATTTCAATGGAAACTATTCAACGACACCTATTACGATGTACCTACGATTCACTTGCAGCAGTAAGTTTTTTTCCCCAATGAGCCAAAAATAAGAAATCACTAACCTTTTTCGCTGAAATACCTTTATTACATGTAAGGCTCTTGAATTTAGTGAGTCACTCGGCATTTATCAAGAAGGACTAGCACACTACACAACGTACAATATCTTTAGGTATGAATATTTTATTTATTATATTCGGAATGTAAAAGAGATAAAAAATAGTGGGGCACGTGTGGCCCAGTGGTCGGTGGCGCCTTGCAATACACACGGGATCGATTCCCATGCCCATGGCCCACCAAGCCTGCCATCCCTCCGGGGTCGGAAAATTGGTACCAGGCTTATCTGAGAGGATAGCAGCACTTGCTCGATACATCGGTAGGTCACCGCGAGACATTGTAAAGGCCAGATATGCATGCAGCCACCTCCAACGATACTGAAGTCGTCTGCATGGGGCATCCCTGAGGGATTGATCAACGCCGAAAGCTTTACAATTTATCCTTTATAAATACTTTGTGCTTTGTACACTTATTAGTATTGATAACCGTAGTAAAATTCTTGAGCAGTCAACTTTTATCATACAAAAATCGTCAAATCATATAAATATTACAAAATAACATTTGAGATAATATTGAATCCATCTAGTTTGATCATCACCAATTAGCTATAACTATAAGGGCTAAAGGTTGGTTTACTAATAGTTCTGCTTAAAAGACGATCCTGACTTAAATAAATAAGGTTTCTCTGCCAAGCCGACTTTCGCTCGATCTCGGCATGAATAATCAATAAATTCTCTTGGACTGTTCAGCCTACACGGGGTTGTTATAGAATTTTTATTCGATTAGTGTTTTAACGTCGTCGTCTTTCTCAGAGCCGACGGTACGTGTCAATGTCCACAATCATTCGTATTTTGGATGTAGTGCCTTTATCGTCGTATTGAGTCGAAACAAGGATGTCGTTTTAGATAACCTCTAAAAATATTAAAAGGTTTATGAAATGACGTTTATCGTCTTACAACTGAGAAGCTTTTGAACTGCGGTAATCATTGAAGAAATCGTAATGCATACTTGACAACGCCTATTGCTTTGCCGCGCGCGATGTGCATTGAACATTGGATCAAAGAGTTTTTTTATAAATTTTCATGCGTGCATAATACAACTTTCCACGAACCACGTTTGGCTTAAAATTAATATCTTATAAGGAATTCATTGTAAAAGTGGTGCAAAGGTGCCTTTAAAAAAGTTTGGAAGAATGTGAATGTAGTTCAATGCATGCGGTCCACTTTATCCACCTTTTGATAACGATGCACAGTTACTTATACGATAGAAGACCGGCATATACCTAAAGGCAACGATTCCAAAGTTATAGTCGTTCTAGCGCGACGAAGTCGTTCGCTCTTGTCTGCTACATTTTGTCCGATATTCTATTCTGGTCGACACTTTTCACATCTGTAGCAGCGTTCTATTACGCTCATACAGCGATCGCTCGTTCTGAGGAAATCAGTTACATCCCTTATATGTAAGTTTCAATTCCAAAAGATTGTAGAGTTACACATATTTATATAACACATCCCTGGCTATTTGACCCGTACACGAATCGTGTGTGGAAGAGAGAGCATTCCGAACAGTTATGAGTCCCATATGACTCATCTTTTTTTCCGCTGTTTTCTTATCACACCAATAAAGCTGAATTTGAACAAATGATATAAAACTTTCTAGATTTTCGGAATTATTTGGAAAAAGCTGTTAAAACATGAGAATGATTTCAGCGTTCGGCTGAGACCTTCATCTATGTTTATGAGCAATTTAAACAACACTCAATAAAATTACTAGTGTGTTGATTGCCAGGGTACGAGTCAATACAAAAAGAACCTAGTCATTTAGGGAATTTCTGAATCTCGGGAATTTTTTACTTTTTTGAATAAACTCTACGGTTATTGCTGATGACAAAAAATCGATAGCTGAGAAACTCTACTCCGTTTGAATTTACTTACTCTACTCTATTGCTGCCTAACTCTTAGTATATAAGAGCATTCGGTTTTCAGTATTTTTATGTTTCAGTTGGTCATTTTTGAAAGTGCAGGTCTTTCCGATACTTCTCACAGTTATCGATACGCTTATCACTGTTTTTCAGGTAAAATACGATCTTCTTCCTTACGTTAATCATTTATGCTTCTGTTTCGCCACTGTGTTCACTTTTTTTCTTGTTTCATTTTTTCCTATTACTTTTTTAAATAATAATTTTAACGAAAAAAGAGCACTCAGCCACTGAAAGATCTCGTCGATCATGTCAAGCTTCACGTAAGAAAGCCACCTGGCATCTCGCGTCCGCATTATCGCTTTATAGGCCGTTCATTACAGTTTCAAAATTCAAGCTTCCACTTTGTATCGTCAACTTTTTATATTCGATATTTTACTACTAATGTATGAACCGAGTGTAGCGCAACAGTTAATGATGCATTGTAATACACAGATTACCATTGGTTCAACGTTTCGTGCCTTACAAACGAAACCCCTCATCCAACTGAAGTCTGAAAATTGACACTACGATTATCTGGAAAGATAAAAACACTACTTCGTGCATCGATAGGCCCTTACACGTCATTGATGTAGGTTAAGTGCGTACCCAATCACCTCTGCGATCTTACAAGTGGGTTCGAACGCATGGATAGCACGGCACTAAACAATGAGTGGCAAGCGTATGTAAGCTTTATATTAAACGAAATAAAAGATAAAAGGGCAAGGTGTTTGGTGTTGATCAATCCCATAAGGATGTAGCATGCATTCGACTTTATCAAGCATCATTGAGGTGACTAAATGTCTATGTGTCCTATACAATGACTCGCGGTAGCCTACCGATGTATCAACTCAGTACCGTCCCAGAGATGTCGACTACCAATTTGCTGAGCCCCAAGAGATCGAATGCTTTGTGAGCTCGATGTCCGGAATCGAACCAACGATCAATTGTATATTGCAGAGCACCTCTAGCCAGCGCGCTAAACGCGTCCTATAAGAAAAAGGTTTTGATATATAACTCGCCTGCTTACAATTTCATTGATAATTTAAGTGGTATTACGACAAAAGCGCGCCTAGAGAACTTAGAGGTAACCGACAGTGTGTTTTGAAATATTGGTTGAATAAATGTCACCCACTTTTTTCTTCTTTTCGCCATTCATAACATTCCCTTTAGTTGGCTACCATATGGGACAAGTCATCCTTGAAATCATCCCCTCTTTCCTCTTTACTAAATTTTTGTTTTTCCTTATTACATCCCTTTTAAAATTCAATCATTTCTTCTCAGATTCCTTTTTACGTCGAACTTGGTGCGATGACAATAATTCGACTCACGGCCTGTCTCGCTGTTGTAACAATTCTCACTCAAATCTTAGCGGTACATGAGAGCTTAAGTGGTTCTTTTTCACTTCTTTCGTTCATTTTTTGTTATTCCTCTTTTTGCAGTCATTCATTCTGTTCTTTCGACGACGTGATGATTATACAAAATCCTCTCCATACGATCAGGCGAGTTATTGTTGACCTTTTTATGGTGTTGACGTTGTTTCTTTTTATTTCGAGAGCATTAAGCCAATGCTTTTCATCTTCAGTACATAATTCTATGTTCTTAAGGTTCGTGATGGGAAATGGCGTTTGTTCTCTTTCATACTTTTCCAAATCGTCGTTCATATCTTAACTATTCCATATCTTTGTGAGTTTAACTCATTTTCCATAAAGGTTTTCATTCAGGGCTAAAAATTATTGCAAATAAAATTATAAGCGCAAAGTTATCTTATAAAAAAACGCTATCATATAAGTCCGTAAAAGAATTGCTTTTTGATGTATTAGGGTTACGGTAGTCACCTTATGACTTTGGCCTTATAGCCTTGCTTGTGATGCAGTTGGATAATTTGTGTCGTTACGTAATTTGTTGATGAAGAAGTATTGATTATTTGTTAAAGGAAATTTAATCCTTTTAGCAATAATAACATGTTTTTTAATTATTCGAACTTACAGAAGAAATGAGCAGTAAGTGCAATAATAATGGCTTAAATAGAGAAAAAAATGGTTTGGAAAAACAAAAAATAAAAAGAAAATAATTACGAAATTGAAAGAATTTGTTTGCTCACTGATTTTCTTGATAAGTGATAAGCAGTTGAAATTGTTGAAACGTAGAGTTTTCTGGGGCATTGACTGTTGGATGACAAAGATCTGCGAAAAATGGCAATTCTTATTCTCAGTATTTTCATTTCGAAGTGTCTAAACTCAGAATAGAGGTCGTTGTAGCGCAGTGATTAATAGATGCCCTCCTAAACACAATACAGACCGGGTCGTAAGTTCAATCCCGCGTCTTGTGCAAACCAGGTTTTCTACAAATCCACTGTCGGAAAATTACTATCGGACTTGTCGTGGGGGAGCAAATCACTGAATTAATACTGCCGTAAGCAACTACAATTCACTGTGTAGGCTGAATATGATTCAATCACTCATACGGTACTGTTAATTGAGTTCATTGCATTGCGTATCCCTAAGCGATTGAATAACTCCAGACGCTTTATTCTTCATGTTTCAGTTTGGTCAGCGATATCGCTAGCCCAGGACTTTTTGGTCGTACTCGATTTTCCATCCCAGTGCGTACAAGCACTACCACTACATCAAGCAGCCGACATGTTCGTCGTGCATATCACCACTTTTGTTGTTCGACCATTTTTAATTCTTATCACTATTTTGTTTCTAATCGCACCATATCGTAAGACGTTCTTGCTTTTATTCTGTCCGTGTTGTCCTTATAATAGCTAAAAATTTGACTGAGTAAGGAAAAAGAAGTTTGAACGATCACACTTTCTGTTGCTTATTGATCGAAGTAGAGTCAAAGACGCAGACAACAGCGATCGTTGTTCGACACTACACCGTACTTCTAATCATCTCAGGTAATCAAGTCGAGACTAATAGTCTTATGTTCCTTTTGATCTATCGATTTTCTTGTGGAGAAATATCCGTACTTGTATATAGTGTCAAAGATTTCCTTCAATACACATCGGTCTTCAAAAAATTCGATTCATTTCAGCTTTCTCCAACATCTTTCTGACCTTCCTACTTAACTCTTCTATAGATTTTCTTAGTGCAACCCAAGATTTTATTAGTACTTTAACCAGATCTTGAAAAATTACTGAACTAATTGTGTTCTGCCTGTGCAAATCGGACTCATTGAAATAATCCGAAGCACTTACCATTTCTCTATCAAGTTCCTCTTTACTTCCTCAGAAAGCATTTTCATATTTTGTATGTCTCGCATAAGACGTCTTATTATGGTTTCTCTTTTCGTGATAGAGTAACGGTGCCAAGTATATCACTATCCAACCCGTGAGTTTCTGTCGTTTCTGTTTTTCCGTTCTAGGTAGCACCACACGTTTCTGCTGAGGTTTTACGAAAGTTTGAAGAGCTATTTTGTACGAGTCATGAACAGGATTACGCTTCAGTAATTCCACTTTTTTGAATTTTATTTTTATGCATGAAACTAGATGTATATGGCAGGACCGATTTTTCTCAAACTGTGCAGACAGTTCTGTTACTTTGTTTATTGTAGACTATTTGTACTTCGCATATTTTGTTAGAGTAATAAATCGTATTTAATGTTTTATTCGTGCTAACGGTTTACCGCTTCATCGTGGCTGGGAGATGTTCCTGGATATCGGACCGTGATGTACAGCGGTGGGATACATCCACCGGTCAGGGTCTCCCAAGCTGAGAAAAAACCAACATCAGGATCCACCACCGTCCTGGCATCAAACTAGTCGTTTAGTGGCAAATTTTCCTCTGATCCACAAGTACGGCGACTGTCTGTGGTGGTGACGACCTGGAACAGGCTTTGGCCAGGCTGACCTCGGGACTCCAAGGAAACACTATGGCTAAGTTAGCAAAACTCCGAAAAGTGGAGAATATGCTGTGGTCCTCACGGCCAGTAACAATGGTGCGTCCAAATAAGTATCCAATGTTTTATTTCCTTCCAGATAGAAATCTGAGCCATAAATTGACATTTTCATCCCAACATCACCGATATCTGAGGATTGGTCCATACTTTCTTGGAAGCTTGCTCTTTCACCGCACTGAGGAAAAAACGAATCACAAAGAGAAATGTTTGGAATAAAATAGTAAAAAGTTTTCCAAACTTCCCCAAAAGAATGTAATTTTAGTGAATATTAAGACTAATCCACCGATTCAAGCCTTTTATTGTTTATATCTCAGCTATTGTTTCTTAGGTAGAAAAAGTTTCACCAGATGTGAAACTACCTGGTACTTGAATGGGCCGTCCTCACTGGCTGTGCTGGCCCCAGCATAATCTCCATTTTTCGGAAATTTGCTGGTTATGTCATCGTGATTCCCTGAAATCCCGAGGTCAGCCAGGCTACCAGGTCTTCACCACCACGGGCAGTCGCACCCCTTGTGGAACAGAGGGAGATTTTCCACCATGCGACTTTGATACCAGGACGGTGGTGGATCGTGGTATAGGTTTTCTCTTAGCTTGGCCTCATGATGGAAATGCCGGATTTCTTTTCAACATGGGAGACCCTGCCAGGGGATAAATCTGCCGCTGTACATCGCAGTCCGACACCCAGGAACACCTCCCAGCCACGATGAGGCGGTAAACCAAGACGTGAAGCCACATTACTTAATAACTCATTCTTTTCTTGATAAGCACACACGAGGTTGTTACTTCATTCTTTATTAACAAAAACCTAACGTTTCGGCTAATCCCGCCTTCTTCATCGCGTCGAAAAGCCAAATTCTCTGCAATCTACCCGGCCAAATACCTCTATAACCAAAACAGAAAAAATACGAAACCAATGAGTCAGTCAAATTAAAGCTATGAGAATTTTTCGCATACTGGCGGCCTTCTATGAGTATTGCACTAAGTATTTCTCACGAAGGCCAACCGTACCGAGTTCAAATATACGGGTAATGTGCCTCTCACATTAAAACGACAGTGTTAAATACTGCATAAGACAACGCGTGACAACGATGCCTTCCTTCTTGCGATTCGTTTTGGGATTGTTGGGATTTATCGCGAATGCCTCGAGAGTTTTACGCGGTGAAGTTTTCGATTCCTGTGCGAGGATGCTAATTTTTACTTCAAAATCCTCCCCGTTATATGTGTCCTATGGGTACCAAGGAGAGGATTTGGTTTAACCTTAGGTCTACAGACTAGCTGTTTTTTATATGAAAGCACATTGGTATATGCGTTTAGCTAATATATTCGTCTCCGAAAGCTGTACAAGAAATTTGATAAATCGCACCCGAACTCATGGGATCACTCCTTGGGATATATTGTGCAATTCTGCGTTGCACACAGAGATTATACAGACCGTTATGAGCAAGCTGGCTTCCTAGAATGATCGGTGGTATCTCAATTATTGTTACCGATTTCTGTACACCGGCGCTTCTTAAGCAGCTTCTTATAGCTGAACTTATTTCGCTTTAGATGAAGCACAGGATAAACGGTGTCTTATTATGGCTAGAATTACCGTTTGGAGGCTTGGGTTTTTTCTACAAATGACCGGAAAAGCTACACTTTCACGAGTAGCTATTGGGAATGGCTATTTGCCGCACCAATTTTCGGGATTCCTTGTTCGGCTGTCCTCCTGTGTACACGATCTGCTTGCTGGTTTCTCGAAACATGTTTCTCCCACGCTTCCTTTTTGTGTGTGAAGGGTGAGAGGAGAGATAATGAACTTTTATGCTTTCGTTACTCATCTTTCGGTACCGCTTAGTGATGTAGCCGTTTTCGGTCAAGTCAATTTGAAAGTTTAGAAACGGAAGCCAGCTTGCTTTCTGTTTCTCTCGAGTAAGCTTAATCTACTCTGAGACTGTTCCTTCAACAGCTCAAAAGATTGTTCCATCTCCTCCTAAGTGGAGCAGATGACAAAACAATCACCCTTATAACTTTAATGATGATGAGAGATTTGCAAAAGTCCGGACGTACGTAGTTTACATGAACTTCAAGATAGACTCCGCAAAAAAGCTAGGGATGAAGCGCCAAATAGGCGCGAACAACAAAAAGTAGGGACAATGTCAGTACCACCATTTCCTCAACCGTTCTTTAGACAAAAAGAGCCCAATAATGAAAGTGACATAAAATTTCAGACGTTTAGGAATGAAACTTCTAAAGTTCTTAATCACTAACGCGCCAACAGATACTGCTCCAACCTCACTGAAATACAAAAACGTGGTATGCGAAAAGTACGAGAGCTGATAAGATCAAGAAACATAAGACTATCGGTTACTGATAAGGATGGAGAGTTTGTTGTAATTCCCCAACAGTTAGATGTTGAGATAACGGAAAAGCACCTTGAAGATGCTTCCCTTTATCGTCCGTCGTCTGAGAAGGGATTTAAAAGTCAATACCGAAAGTTAAATAACGAATGGGTTAAAGTGGCAAGAGAGGCTGGGTTAAAACCATCGGTTATCTCTGATCTCAGAATTGATTTACCAACATTTCCCGTCCTCTTACTTATCAAAACCCATAAGTTAGCATCCAGCGATGATCTCGTGTCTACCGATCCATCGTTTTAAGGTTAGACCTATTATTAGTTGCGTCGACGGTCCAACGGATAGAATAACGTGGTTAATAACACTAATACTTACTCGGTTGTTAAAGTACATTCCAGCTCATCTAACGAACACCCAAATGTTCCTGGAACGTCTACGTAACGCGCGACCAAACAACAGTGCGTACGTGGTGGAGTCTTTCGACGTAACTGCCCTCTGTATGAACGTGTCGAATGACTCCGCTATGCAAGCCATAAACGAGCTCCTTATACAACACGAAGGAGCAATAAACATGTACGGCTTCTTGATTCAGCAGTTGATGACATTCTTAAAGGAGTGCCTAAACTGCTCAATCTTGAGATGGTCCGGGAGGTATTACGCACAAATGAGAGGGCTGGCAATGGGACAACGACTGGCACCAAGCCTTGCCATTACATTCATGTCTAAGGTGGAAGTGCCAGTAATCGACCTCGGTCCGTTACTCTACTGTAGATATATAGATGACTGCTTGGTCATTTGTTCAGCACAAGAAGAAATTGACAGATGTTTCGAGTTGCTGAACGCACAGTCAGAGTATATTAAATTCACCCGAGAGAAACCAAAAGAAAACTGGCTTCCACTTCTGAACGTGCAAATTAACCTATCAGAAAACGGCTACCTTACGAAATGGTATCGAAAGCCAAGTAGTAAAAACATTTTGTAATTTTTCGTATTTTTGTTGAGGAAACGCGATGTGTTATTATTCTTTATTCACGAATAAACTGACGTTTCCGCGGACTTCGCCTTTCTCAGAGCCTGGAAAGGTCAAGTTGACAGCAATCTACCCAGTCAAACACTTCTATAACCAAACAGAGAAAACGCTAAACCAAGATTTCAATCACGTTGAACACAGAATAGCCTCTTTGCACACTCACCTCTTTCTATGGGTCTTCCACTGAGTATGTCGCGTGGAGACCGATCGCACAGAATTCACACGGAAACGTAATGTGCCCCTCCCATCAGAGTAACAGGCTTATATACTGCCCAATACCACGTGTGATAATGAGGCATTCTTTCCTGTGGTTCATTTTCGGATTTCTGGAATTAATCCAGAACGCCTCGAAAGTTTTGCTGGCTTGTGTTCCCGATTCCTGTGCGAGACGTTTCACAGTGTTTGGTGGTGTTTCAATCACTGTTACCGAATTCTCTAAACTGACCTTTTTAAAGCACCGCATTGTAGCCTGTGGTTAAACGTCAGTCAGTGTTGAATGAAG